TGCTAATATTTACGTAATAATCGACTGTCTTTATATACTGGTGATACTAATATTATACCCGATAATGAGTTATGCAGGGACAAAGGATAGCAAATTGAGCGGTAAAATTGGTTTTTAATTCCTATAATTACTCGCAAAATATTGTGATAATTGTAAAAATGCTGCACAATTCCCTAAGTTATATAGTGTTTTCTACAAATCGTTTTAATATTTTAAGTTATTGTCTCTGACGATGCGACGGCGCTAATGGGTATAAACAAACGAAATTGGCGTCTTTGTTTAATATTTCCGGCATAATAGAATGTCATTTACTATTTGAATACCATTAAGGATTTAGCGTTTTGTTTAGTACATTATTGATCAGGAATCAATATTTTAAAATTTATGAACATCACTGGCTGTGCCGTTTAATCTTGTTAAAATTGCACTAATAAAAAACATAAAGATATGGACATCAGTTTTCATCAGCAAGTTTATAATTGTCTGAGGTCTCTCTTTGTAAAGATTTATCTATGTATACAAAGTATTCAAATCTTATAAAGAGGAATGATTTGACTGTTCGTATGTTTGCATAGAAAAGGCTCGAATACTACCGGACCAATTTAAAAAAGAAATTCACCTACGGATAGGTACACCATACGGGGGTTACATAGGCTATAATTCAGGCGGGCGAAGTCTCGGGAAACCAGATAGTTTTATCATTAAATCTTAAAAACCATTTTTAAGTAGACTTACTACTTAAAAATGGTTTTTTTAAGTAGTAAGTCTACTAACTTTTTAAGTAGTAAAAAATTAGCCCCATTTTTTTATAATTTCATATAAGTATTGTTAGCTTTTACCATACTCGAGACAAGGTATAAGGGATTGTATATATAAGTAAGTATATAAAACATATTATAGGTACTACTAATTCCACTGGTATAAAATACTATATACGATATAATTCTTCTATAAAAATATGGGCTCTGTTGAGTGCAACTTTGAGTGCAACAAAACTGAAACATCATTTTTTGCAATAGATTTCCAGCTAACACTGTTATTTCCAGTCTATGAAAAACACTATGGAAAGCCGTAAATTACAATGACGTTGCATTACATTATACATGTCCTATGCAATTAAGAGTTTTATGAACATCACTGGCTGTGCCGTTTAATCTTGTTAAAATTGCACTAATAAAAAACATAAAGATATGGACATCAGTTTTCATCAGCAAGTTTATAATTGTCTGAGGTCTCTCTTTGTAAAGATTTATCTATGTATACAAAGTATTCAAATCTTATAAAGAGGAATGATTTGACTGTTCGTATGTTTGCATAGAAAAGGCTCGAATACTACCGGACCAATTTAAAAAAGAAATTCACCTACGGATAGGTACATCATACGGGGGTTACATAGGCTATAATTCAGGCGGGCGAAGTCTCGGGAAACCAGATAGTTTTATCATTAAATCTTAAAAACCATTTTTAAGTAGTAAGTATTATCCCCATTTTTTTATAATTTCATATAAGTATTGTTAGCTTTTACCATACTCGAGACAAGGTATAAGGGATTGTATATATTAGTAAGTATATAAAACATAGGTACTAATAATTCCACTGGTATAAAATACTATATACGATATAATTCTTCTATAAAAATATGGGCTCTCTTGAGTGCATCTTTGAGTGCAACAAAACTGAAACATCATTTTTTTCAATAGATTTCCAGCTAACACTGTTATTTCCAGTCTATGAAAAACACTATGGAAAGCCGTAAATTACAATGACGTTGCATTACATTATACATGTCCTATGCAATTAAGTAGTGATTTTCGTATGTCAATTCTTTAACTGAACAGAAATGTTTAGGACATTGTAAAATTGTTCATAATAATAAGTTAACATAGGGTATTGATGGGGTCTTGAAGAGTGTAGTTGATAGAAGTTTGGATAAAGTTGAATATAGTTCAAGTTAAACACTGCACTGTGTAAATATTAAAGTTTATTTAGTTAGTAGATACATGAGTTGATCAAGTATAAATTACAACTAACTTTAATGCCGATACATATTATATACTTAGATTATTGACCGTACGCTAAAGTAGGTAGCACGTCAGCACTAAATATAAATTAGTAATTGACAATTGTACGTAAGCGGACACGCATAAGAAACTAAACCTATACAAATTTCCCATATTTTGGGCTAATCGTTTTACACTATTATCACTCATGTTAATCAATAAATAAAAAAACTTGGCAATGAATACACGCTCTTTGCTCTTTGCTCACGCATACACGAATCGCAAATGACTTCACTGTTGTCGTTGCGCTTTGTAGGAGACACGGAATCTGTATCACTTAAATCTTTAAAACTACGCAACGGATTTTTATGCGGTTTTTTTTCTAGATAGGGTGATTCAAAAGGAAGGATTTATGTATAATACAAGACCACCCGCTGGCGGAAAGCAAGTAATAGATAATCTAAGTTCCAAGGTTTGAACCTTGGTTGATCAAAGGGTCAACCCAAGAAGCCTTTGATCAACAATACAACAAAATTCCAGATGAGTCTCAAAAATGGCCAAAGATATAACGCCTCACTTCAAATTACGATCTTATTTTATGTTAGTTTGTTTGCTTAGACGCTTACGTTCGGACGTGTTAAGGTGACAATACATATTAAAACTGCAAATATAACCTATCGGAATAAAAATGTCGATATTCTAAGACAGCACATACATAGAGTAATGTACTATTACATACATTGTTTTCACCAAAAAATTTGGACACTAGTTGGAAACCATCTTGGTGTAGTGGTTCGTGTTCTCGATTCCAAGCCTAGCATAAATATATAGGTTTTATATTTATTTTGAGTACCTATTTACAACAAAACTTTAACTATTTACAACAAACAAAATATGCGTATTTGAGTATTGCTTTAGTATATGAGGCCTTATCTAGATGAATAGTTGATCGAAGCGAGAAGCTATCAATAAGCTTATTCAACCACAGATATTTTAGAATATGTTTGTGAGTCTTGGATTATAACTGTGAGTTTACTATACAACGTCTGGCTCTATAGTTTACCAATTATAACCTACTTTTGTTTTATAAGAATCCGAAATATATCCCCCGAAATCCAGATAAAATAATAAAGCAATTAAAACAAGTAAACATTGCAAACCAGTTTGGAAGAAATACGTAGACAAATTGTTATTGTTTTGTTGTTACTTGTTATGGTTGACTAAAAAACTAACTCAATTATGAATTCCACAAGAAGTAAACCTGATTTCATTAAAAATAAAAATAAATGTCGCTTATCGTAGAATTATATTTGGTGAAGTTTTAAAAAACTCTTCTCTGATTATCGCGTTATTACAAAGTAAATGTTATTTTAACATATTTTTGTTTGTTTTTAAATAGCTTAATTTTAATAAATAAAATGGCCTTTTGCGTCAATTGTAATGTAATATATTTTAATAAATGAATTAATTTCTTGCATTTTGAGCTATCGATACTTTATATTTTTAAATGACCTCACACATGTAGGTATGTTACTATTTATACAAGTTTCCAGCGCTTTAGTAGTTTGTGGGATTTATACCACAATATATTAAATTACTGCAATGGATTTTGACCTCTACCCTCAATGATCAGTTCAATTTTAAGTGTGGACAACTGTCCGAATCGTGTCCGAAATATCTTAATATTCCCAATTTTGCAAAGCCTCATATGCGAGAGAATATTCTCTTAAATTAACTCTAATAAACAAAAAAGTGGAACAGATACCTGCCTTTTTTAAGCCAACCCAAGAAATGGTTAAAAATGTCCATAAAATCAACAAACAATGAAAATGAATAAAATTAAAAATATATAAATTAATAGTTAATTGTAATTAATTAAATAATATCTTTGAATACGTAGTATTTTATTTATTCATCTACTGTTCGAGCAGAAAACGAAATAATGGGAACTTAAAATTATTTATGTTAGCAACATCACAGCCTCAATACAACTGTGTCACTGTCAACATGAAATTAAAATGGATTTCCATGACAATAGAAAATATTTAAAAAAAGGTTCTGGTAATTAAACTAGATGTTGCTACGGTACTTTGAAAGTACAACTTTCTTGATTCCTCCATGACAACCCTTCTGGTTTTCTTTAATGTATAAAAGTTAATTTTCAAAACTCAATAAACAACTCGTATTCTTTATGTACAACTTTCTTATTTATTCGTATCAGTTAGTTATTAGTTATTCATATTAGTATCGATATTTAAGTGTCGAGCTTTGCGAATTTCAGTTTTTAATATTTTAGTTGAAAGGAATGGAAATGACTATCTTTGGTCCATTCGTTGCCTGTAAAAATCAATTTTGTAGAGTCGCCATCTAGTGACATACTTTTTAGTGCTCTCTTTTTTTCTTAAACTACTTCCTAATTGCTGCCCTATAAACGACACTATAAACGACAACGTCTTTTGTGTAGCACTGTACCTACACCAAACCTATTATACCTATTAATTGTGTTCTGTGTATTATACACTAAGGACGCAATAATATGATGGCTATTTTTTGGCACTTTCAGGAGACTGGCTTGGCAGATTTTAGGTAGTATCGGGCAGATTTACCATTTTTAAAACGGTCACCCTGATTATGATGACAGTGACAGTGATAGCCAAATTTGTTGTTGTTGAATCGAGTTATATCTGAATTTTGTGATAAAATTTGAATTTGGATAGGTAATTATTAAGGAATGTTCCTTGAATAGTCATAAATTATTTTGTGAATCAAAAAGGTTGCTCTGAAAGTTCTTATATTATCTGCGAGAGTTTTAGAACTATAGTAGAATTCTTTTCTAAATGACTTGCATTCGACCTAGAAATTCATTTATTGAATATTTTCAAAAGCATACAGTTTTAGACAAAGACTTTATTCATACTTATGATTTTTATTGAAGCAACTTTATGACGTGGTTATTTGTTTAACAGTTACCTACTTTAGACTTATCTAGACAATATCGAAATGTTTATCGTGGGTCTTACTGGTGGACTGGCAACTGGCAAAAGCACAGTGCTTTCTATATTTCGTGAAAATGGTATAGCAGTAATAGATGCTGATGAAGTTGCTCGGAAAGGTAAATAGATCTCGAAAATATTGTTTTATAATTATTTTTAAACTATTCTAACCTTATTATTCGTAAAATAAATTTCCTGTTAGGTATGATACCACAATAAAAAATAAATTATATTATGAATATTTTCTCTTATATTTGTTTGTGTTTAAGCCTGTTTATTATACTAAGTATATCATATTTGTATTGAATTTTTAGTTTTGGAGCCAGGAACAACAGCCTGGCAAGAACTGAGAAACTATTTTGGAGATGAAGTGCTAAGTCCGGATGGTAAAGTTAACAGGCTTCGATTGGGTGAAATAGTTTTTGATGATATAGAAAAGAGAAAAAAACTGAATGCAATAACACACCCAAGAATCCAAAGTGCAATGGTAAAGATGGCTGTGTCATACTTCTTTACTGGACACAGATATATTGTAATGGAAGTGCCTCTGTTGTTTGAAACTGGCAAAATGTTAACCTTCATGCATAAGATAATCACGGTGGTATGGTGAGTGTTGACTTCCATTTTTTTTCAACATTCAATGCTGTTAATCTGGCTTAGTGGTAAATAAATACAAATATAGTTTGTTAAAAAAGAAAACCATCATGACCAGTAAAGGAATGTAACATATTAACATTTGATTTAACTCATCCTCCACTTGGCCAATGTCAAAATCATTATTGTGTTTTGATTGGATACTTGAGCTTTATAGTATTTTAAGCATAACAAAAACTTTAATTAACCACAGTTATGCCCTTGAGTTCTACAACAGTTCTCTTTTTGCACAAACAATACAAGGAACAATTTTATTCCTCCAACCTACACTTGGTAGGTCATTCTCCATAGTTGAATAGTTTACCACCAGTTATCAGGTGTTACTATCTAAGGTCACAAGTTTGTTTTTTATAGATTTCCTTCATACAAATAAGGGATTTAGATACTTAGATCTCTCAACTTAAGCTATGTAATGTGCAATAGTAATGTTGTCCAGTAGTGGGTTCACTCCTTACATCAATTCAGCCCACATGAATGAGATCTACGGTGGGATGTGCTTGCAACATTGCACCTATAGCCAGGGTGTGCAGCTTAGATTCCACTAGTATTTTATTTCCAATTATGTATAATAAGTTGTGCTGATACCTAGTTGAACCATCCCACTGAACCAATTAAAATGAACATTGGCACATTTGGACCTTAGGACATAAGATATTTTTTAGGGTATAATAATTAATATGGATAGATCATTATCTAGCAGTTAAATGTTCATTTTGGTTGGATATTAGAGCTACCTCTCCTTCATCCAGTCAGGTTTTACACTGAGATTAATATCCATAAAATCAATAGATAACTATCTTACCTCTGCAGTTATTCACCAAGCTCCTCGATTTTGGGAAAAATAGAATTTGATTAAACTAAATCTAAAAATAAAATTGCAATATATTTTAATAAGCTATAAAGCCACAGATGTTACATAAAATTACTATTTTGATTTTTCAGTGAAGATTACCAACAGCTTGAGAGATTATGCAAACGGAATGATTTCTCTGAATATGTAGCCAAGAAAAGAATAAATTGTCAAATGCCTTTGGAACATAAAGTAGCAAAATCACATTTTGTGATAGATAACTCTGGAAACTTTTTTAATACAAGAAAACAAACAGAAAGTATAATAAGAACTTTAAAAAGATCAAAGTTTACATGGTGAGTAGATATTTTAAGATTGGTGCAAATCTGAGGGGAAGATCCGTCGTACATCCCACAGAAGTATACATTAGTACACAACTGAATTTTCATTGAGTATGCAAAGTTGAATATAATTTTTTTCCATATTTTCTATATTGTCAGTAGTGTGGTGTGTCAATTATGATCTCTGATCCAGTGGCTCGCAGGCCGGTTTGAAAGTGTCGCTATTTATGAAAACTCAGTTTTTATTTAAAGTTGAGATTTGAGCAATAAATGTGATGTCTGATATTTATTATTATTATTGTTTCAGGTACTTTCGGGTTATATTTTTTATAACATTTTTATCACTTTTATTTGGTGTTGCTCACATGGTCAATAATTTTGTTAGTAGTAGAATTTAAATTTATATTAAGGGTATTATTATTTATGTTATATAGTCAACTTACAGTGATGAAAACAAAAAAAATGAATATGGTATGTATTTGTAATTTAGAGGCCAGTGCAAATTCAGTGCATTTCACTATAGGAAGGTGTCATTCATTTATTACGTAGGAAGATTTTTGCCCTCCCTCTTTAATTTACTTTTTATTTTTATTTAGGGAATATTAACTTTACGGGTTTTTATAAAAAAACTCATAAAGTCCCCCCCCCTCTAAGAAATGTGGTATTGTCGACCCCCCATCTAAAAGCATCTTACGTAATTCATAGACCTAGTGTATAACGTAGAAAAGATGACAATATAATTTGTACATTATATGTAAAGTATAGAAAGCATTGAAAGCTTTTATATTGGAAATAGTCTGAACCTGCATTACAAGGTTTCTTGCATTGGTAAAGAAACTTTTTCTACACTCAAATGTCCGTTTTCTTGGGTGCGTCCAAACAATATTTCGTTGTTTCATGACCAGTTTCTCTAGTGTGAGCTAGGCCAGCTATATTTTTTGTTTTAATCTCAAGTACATATTTTGATTTTATAGCTTGTTTGTATTGTGCATTTATATTTAGATTGATTAAGCTTAACGAAGTACATTGTTGGTCCAAAGAAACAAAATATAGCTCCTGTTTTTAATTTTAAGAAGGAAGTTGTAGTACGTGAATTATAAATGAAACAAACGTTTTAGAAGGTTTATAGGTCATACCGTGGAGTGATGATCACAAAGAATAGGAAGCGCAGGCATAATAAAATACACTAATCACTGTCTGTGGTATTGTGCGCATTGGCAGGGTTAACTTAAAATTTATTTCTATCCTTTAGTTCTTCACCTTTAAGAAATCCCACAAACACAGTGGGCATCGATAAGTTTCATTACTTATTGATTATAATTATTCATGAAAATTTTAATAAACTAGCGTTTTATAGTACAACCAGTCTTGATGCTCGCTTTTGGGAGGAAATTAAAAAAAAAACTCGAATCCGTCTGCATTTATCAAACTTAATGACACCAGCAGATCTTCCTCTTAACATCATTGGCTTCGAAATCGTAGGCATTGTAATCAAAATCTAATCTATATTCAATCAAACAATATAGTATTGATTGTTGTGTGGATTTTGATTACAGTGCCTATTGAATGATAATTCAATCCGATAAATTTGATGTACCTACGCAATGTCTCTAATAATACAGAATTGTAAGTTCAGTGTATTTTAAATAAATCCAACGCCTACCAAATCGAAGTTGATCGGATTATGTGGTAGGCCTGCAGAGCGGATGTAGGAATTTTTAGGGTGTTAGTAGAATTATTAAAATATCTGTTAATACAACTTACTAACCAAACCTGAATATTTCTCATACAATGTTAAAGCCTTTATTTATAAAGGTTTTATTGAAAAAAGAAATTGTTTTAATATTTTCTTTGAAATAGCAGCCGTTATTGACAGTTGTTTAATGTATATTTAAAATAGATTTAAATCAGCGTTTTGTAACTATGGCATCTAGCAATCATAGATATTATTAATTGTAAAAATCTTTGATATGCTCAAGTTTCTTAGAATACGAATCAGTATGATGAGCAATATTTAGAGCTTTATTGTGTATTTGTTAAGTTACCAGAGAGATTTTAAGACATTGTCTGTACCTTTCGTTTCTCTTTGTGTCTACACACGAATGTACATCATCATGGTCCCACTGCTGCATTGTCTTGTTTTTGAATTAAATTTTAACACTTAATGAAATTAAATCAATTTTAGTCAGTAATTCGATGTCCTATTGATTGTACCTAGGCGTATGATCTATTCCATTGCTTTTCGATCCATTATATATTTCAGAAATTATTAATGTTCTCCATCAGATTTTAACTCCTAGTGCGTTGCTGGTTGAGGTTAAAGTACCTACTCGCTATAGAGTATATTTACGAGTACACATCTCAAAGTATTATATAAAAGACTTTACTTTTATATAACACGCGGAATCTATGGATCGATGACGACATTCTGTTGACGATGTTTCAATAAATCATTCCATACCATGGATATTTCAGAAACCTCCTTAATCCTGATTTCCAGTCGGTTTCTCGTTATAAATCCAGTTTGTACAATTACAACCAAATGTATAAAATAATAAAATAAACTTTTCAATATTTTTTATTGTTTTTTTTTTGACAGAAGGATATTTGTTTCCAACTTCTTTCTGAAATTTATCGACGGAGGTAAAAATACTTTTTATGAATATTAGTTCATAGGTTTATTTATGTTATATTTAGTGCCAAAAATTTTGATGGTTTATAATTTTCAATAATCTAGTAGCAACAGGAGTAACCTTAAAATAAACTACCTTATAATAATCAGTGGCGGGCTAACTCGACAACTTTTTTCAACCAGGGCAGAAACTTGAAATTGCGTTTAATCGCCCTGCCCACGCATATATTTTAACTTTATATATATAACTAGCTTTCGCTTGGTTGCCCCGGGCTGCGAGCAGCCCGGGGAGGTCACGAGTAGCTAGTGGAATCGGGGCGGTGGGGTTTCAAGTCCGCCTATTGTTATGTCGGGTTTGCAGTTTGAAATTGCGTAGAAAAGGTCAGTAAGTTCTATCTTCAAATAAAAGGTGTTAAAGGATACAAAGCACCATTTATCAAAGAAAAAGGGTTGCCAGTTTACGCTGAACAAAAAAAGAATAATCAGTCGAAAAACGCAAGCAAAACTCTAAATAAATTATAGTCTCTTATTTTTATTCAATAGTAAGTTTACATTTAGTGTGAAAAAGGAACGAGTAGATATTTCCCCCAGTGTTACCTTAAATAATACACCAAATAAATAAATGTCAAATTTCAAACTCATACCTACGTAGAACACTTTCATTTTGAATATCAAAAGAACATGTTTTCTCAAAAATCTTAAAGTATAGAAAAATATATTTTAAGTATTAAACATCGTGTCAAAAATTGGATTTTCTTTTCTCCATACTTACCTATGTGAAAGTGTGGGTAAAGATACACAAATATACAAATGGTCCATATATACACGCTATAAAGATCCTGAATTGTCAAGTCCATCGAAATCAAAATTGAAATTAAAATGGTCACGATCATCTTTTAAACATTATAAACCAAATGTTACCATCAACAAAAGCGATTCGTTTTTCATACACTAACCTAACCTAACCCATATGTCATAATAAATCTATACAAGTTTTAGTTGCTTTACTTATTGTATAGTTCTTGAGCATAAACGAGTCACTTGTGGAATTGTTATGGTTACAGTTTGAAATTGCCTAGAAAAAATTAGTGAGTTCTATCTTCAAATGAATTATGTTTAATTACACAAGGCTCCATACGTCAAAGAAAAAGGGTTGCCAGTTTACACTAAATAGAAAAAGAAACATTCAGTTTAAAAACGCAAGCAAAACTAAAATAAAATTTGAAATAGATCGGCTTGTAGTCATTTATTCTCTTATTCTTATTCAAAAGTAAGTTAATATTTAGTGAATACAGACATTGGAGTTTTAAGACCGCCTCTTGTTATGTTGGGTTTACAGTATAAAATTGCCTGGAAAAAGTTAGTAAGTTCTATCTTCAAATAAAAGATCTTTAATTACGCAAAACATCATACATAAAAAAAAAGATTTCCAATTTACACGCAACATAAAAAGAAATATTCAGTTGAAAAACGTAAGAAAACTTAAAATAAAGGTTGTATACATCGCCTTGTAGTCTTTTATTTTTATTCAATAGAAAATTTCCTAAAAATCACAATATCAAAAAAAAAAAAAACTGTTTTTATCATCCGGCAATACTTCAACTGAATACATTTTTTTTCTGTAAGTGATCTGAAAAATGTTATCAATAACGCCAAAATCTGCTCTATAAAGTAAAAACCGTGAAAATAACCGTGATACATTTTCTAGCACACTTATAAGCACATTTGGTCACAGTTCCTTAACCGATTGACCAGGTCTCCATTTATTATGGCTCGCTTCGCTCGCTTTTTCTTTTTGTTTTTTTCGCAGATCTAATCTAACCGATTGACCAGGTCTCTATTGATGATGTCCTTTATGGATCGCTTCGCTCGCATTTTATTTTAGTCATAGTTCTAACCCTACCAACTAACCATATCTCTCTTAACAGTTACTCCTTATGGCTCGCTTCGCTCGCTTTTTGTTTTAGACACGTTGCTAACATAGTCGATGGTCTCTCTTAATGGTCTAGCATTATGGCTCGCTTCGCTCGCTCTTTATTTTGGTCACAGCACTTTAAGCAATTGACCAGGTCTCCATTTTTGATGGCTCGCTTTGCTCGCTTTTTGTTTTAGACACGTTGCTAACATAATCGATTGATCAGGTCTCTCTTAATGGTCTAGCATTATGGCTCGCTTCGCTCGCTCTTTATTTTGGTCACAGCACTTTAAGCAATTGACCAGGTCTCCATTGATGTTTGAGTTTTATTGACAGTTCTAATCTAACTGATTGACCAGGCCTCTATTGATGGTGTTCTTTATGGCTCGCTTCGCTCGCATTTTATTTTAGTCGCAGTTTTAACCTTGCCATTTAACCAAATCTCTCTTAATAGTTAACCTTTATGGGTCGCTTCGCTCGCTTTTTGTTTGAGTCACAGTGCTAACATAACCGATTGATCAGATTTCTATTGGTGGTGTTCTTTATGGCTCGCTTCGCTCGCATTTTATTTTAGTCACAATTCTCACCTTACCAATTAATCAAATCTCTCTAATTGGTCACTTTTTATGGCTCGCTTCGCTCGCTTTTTGTTTTAGTCGCAGTTTTAATCTAACCGAATGACAATTTCTCGCTCACTTTATTTTTCTGGTGAAAATATTGGATTTTTTTTTTCTCACCACGTAAAGATTGAGTAAAGATACAGAAACGGTTTATATATGCAAAGCTTACGAGTCACCAACTCAGTCAGAATCATTTTGAAATTAATATGGTGACTACTATCAGTGTTGCTA